TACTGTGTGCGGATATAAATTTTGCTTTTATTTTCAACTCGTAAACGTTAGAGAGATGCAAAGTTTGGATGATTCGCTTCTAGACACACGTGAACAGTAAAGCGTTGAATATAGTTATCGTTTCAGCCTGGGCGAAAATATTTAGATTGGTTGGGACGTGGAGATCGGGATAAATGACCCTGAGTTTATCATACAGGTTAGTGTTTACCAGTGACAGCAATCCACTTGTTGTGCACACAGTCATACATCTAGGAATCCAATTCACTTAATCTATTGTTTGCGTCTAATCACTCTTACTAGATTTTTTTGGGACAAAAAATTAATGTGGTAACATCATGAGTTATTGAAAACAAATGCGAGCCTGAAACCCCATCCTGATATTCGATGTGGTTACATTCCAAGAGTTTAAACGAACTTGAATGTACTTCGGCATTGTTCTGCTTAGAATCAAAATTCCAGAAGGCTTCGATATTGAACAAAGAGTATACACAGACTTAAGAACACACAATGTAGGAGAACACATGTTTTTGGTGAATTTCTTCTCTCATCATTGCAATCACATTTATATTAAACATTTCAACGGGATTAAACAGAAAGATGGATGAGTCGTGTTTGATAATGAGCTGGTGAGGGGAATCTCACTGAAAAATGGCTAATCTGAGAAGTTTGTCAGCCGAACTGAACAGAATAAGCCAACTAGAGCCTAGGGCCGATTTTCAGTGTTTTTACAATGATAAGTATATGAATGACTGGGAAAGTTCCTCCAGTAATTCATGTACTACTCATTATGAAAACACTGAAACATATCATGATTTCATCTTTGGCTTGCATAAGATGGTTTTCTTGTGTCTTTTGGACGCGTCGTGTATGTTGATTCCCATAAATAAGCAAACATCGGGGTAACCAAAGCGGTTTTGACTCTCTCGATCGTCCCACTGCCTTTTTCGAATTCATTAATTTTCCATGTGCATAAAAATCGTTCATGCTTGGTTGGAATGTCGCGGAGGCTGATGATTGTTCCACAATTCAATCACGGCGGATCGAACTAGTCGTGTGCATTGGACAGCCTACGGGTTTGTATTCATAAAAATGTCAAAGAAAAATGTGGTGTACTCAGTAAACGCCACATGTATCTTTCTAATATATCCCGATTTCAAATAATCTAGCTGAATACTTAAATAAAATTGGTAAGTTTTTGATCGCAAAGCATTCTGCAGAATGTGCCAGTGTGAGCTTTAAAGAGGTTCGGCTTCTAGGCTACAATTTTCAGCCTACCACCTCTTCCAGCTCAGAATCAACCTCTAGTGATTAAGTAGTTATATTTATTATCACAAATGGAGGACCCATATCCACTTACTTCTGAAAATAGTAGAGCTGTTTTGTGTTGGACAAGTAACTTGAATTAATGTTTTGCAGATTGAAGACTTTTGCTGAAATTATGAAAAGTTCAGTAGTCCCGTTGGGATGGGAACCCACGCAAGTTAATGGTTTGCTGGAAAATGATGTTTTCAAGGTGACAAGTATGAATATGGTGGTAGATATACGGCGCATTTTAATGGAGTGATTGACCAATAGTAATTGTGCTGAGCACTCAGACTTACAAGTGCAGTCAGAAATTTATTTATTCATCCTAATGGATGGATTGTCAACTTCGAGAAAACAAAATAAATCCGATATCGACTATTGTTCAAGTCGTATTGGAAAATGCTGGTTTTACGAAAACAATCGTATCCCCCGAAAAACAAACAAATACTGTGAATATGTCTCGTATGGCGGAAACGTGTTTGGTTTCCACCGAAATAACTGCTTCAGATGAAAAATCTTGTCAGTCCTTGACATTTACCGATCAGACGGTGTGTACTTCAGAAAAATTGTAAATTTAGCTTATTTTCTATCGCTGTTTGTACAGTTTTGAAGTGACTATGGTAACCGCGGTCTAATAAAATGTTTTATATTTGGATTTACAAGCAATTTCCTCAACCCGCGTGTCTTATTCGACTCGTTTCATAACTCCGATTACGTGTGTTACGTCAACTCTTCTAGATATTAACGTGTTTCCCTTAATCTTGATGTGTAATGGCTTATATGCTTGCGTGCCGCCGATTTATGGGATAGAGGATAGTTTTATCTTGTTACGCGAAATTCTTTCATTGACATTTCGTTATCCCATTCTTTATTCTANAGTCAGCGTAGTGAAATTGTTATTTCAAGACAGCTACTCGGCACATTATTCCACTTGGATAGAATAGAGTTAGATAATCGGAGTAGAACCCTGTAACTGATAAGTCAGTATCAAAAGAATGAAGAGACTATGTGCTCCAAATTAGATTAAGTTCGTATTCGCAGAAGCCTATTAATTTGTCTGCTCCGTCATGCTGGTGTTCGTTGCTGGTGGAACACTCACTCACTCACTCACTCACTCANCAACAATTGGATAAACACAAGAACGACCCTGCAGTCTGTCTGGCTGTGAGTCCTAATTTCTCTATCCTTTAGGTGGGACCGGATCTCTGTGTTTGCTTTAGTCATCTCCGTACGGATAAATTGTATTAGAGAATCAACGATGTCCTTGATAGACGAACCTCTGTCAAGCCGACTCATTCCGGCATCAAACATGGATGTGGGTAGGATAAACAAACCTCAAATGAAACCCACTCTCTCGCTCTCTGGGGTATTGCGATAGACAATGCTTTTAGGATTAATTTCAAGTATTGAATTTCTCATATTTGCAACAGCCCCCAACGGGTATCACGCCAGGTTTGGTTAGGTAAGCATCTTATCCGTGCTTCTTAAGCAGGAATTCCAAACAAGAACTTTGTGTCTATTTGACAAGATAGTTTATTACCTTGATGACTGTGGAATCGTTGATCAGCACGAATGAACTGCAACCAGTCCTGGTGACACTCATCGGACTGTTCTAAACATACGTATATCTATTGACGGGGCTGTAGTTTTATTTGTCACTCAGGTTTGCCGTGCGGATTTACACAATCACAGTAGCTATGCACTTCGTTTTCTTGTCACTGAATAGGGAAACTCCAAGTGTTGTCGTTCAAGTGTATACCTGTTAGTTTAGATAGACTAAGAACTACACGCAAGAATATAAAGCATGTTTATGAGGGAAGTGAAACAGTGGTGAATACTTCAGAGCGTAACAGTTTCCCCACAAAAATTCCTATCCAAATGTAGATGTAAAATTGCTGCGCGCAAAGATAAAACTGGTTATTGAATACGGCTCACTGAGAACAGACCAATGTTGAAAAAGTATTTTTGAAATGCTCACAAACCGGGGAATGTACAAAGATAAAAAAAGTGAGGAAAGTGATATGACGACAAATACACAAGTGTTTGCCATTGTGAAGTGGTCTGAACAGTAAAAGCTGACAGTTTGTCACACTGCGCTCGCATTTTACCGTAAACTAAAAATGTGTAATTTATTTCTTCAAGAACCATAACAATTTTAGCGAAGTGTGGTTTGGATGAAATAAAATAAGTGTGTGTATTGATTGTTATGATCTAATATTGTATGTGTATACTACAAATACTACGAACACCAGTACGGGTCTACAGATGTCATCCACTAACTGTCACTCACATTTCTGTTATTCAGTTTTGTTCACAGTCACGTGATAGCAAAACGGTGAATACCGGTTATTCGGGATTCCGCTTCATGGTACACAACTTTCAGTCAGACATGAAGTTCTATTCTTCAACCCGGGCACAAGCATTCAACTGCAAAGCTACCTCGCACACAGAATATATATACATCAAAACGCCAGTGAAATGTTTCTGCGAACGAACGAATCTTTTCTTTAGATGAATAAAAGAAATCTAAATATGTTATGCTGCAGAGTGATTTAAATGTATAACCTTTCGCAGAAGTTGAGAAATTCCGAATGCTTGACACCACGCATACCTTTTTGCGAAGTCAATTCACAAGGTTGCAGACCGTTTATTGATCAACTAGATAATCGATTGAGAAACCGTTGAAACCCGTCAATTAAAATAGAGTTCGAAAGGATCATCATGATTTCCTATGGACGGATGTTTTATATACGAAAGGTAAGAGTAATTTATCTTCACTTCCTTACTCACCGGGTAATATTTCTGACTTGACGTAGATTTAAGCATTTTATGGACACTCTTATCGGGATTGATCTGAAAATGGCATATAGGCCTCAGTGCTGAGTTTTCCACACCATACCCAATTTAGTGGAACCTTCGAGGAAAATGGGATCAAAAGCTTTCCATTTTACTAATCCTCGTCAAACACTATCTGCGCGACCAGTATCTTCTGCGTAGCACTGATGACACATGAAGCAACTACCGGACAACCACAAACAATCGCATAAGTAAGATGCAACTCTGAGGCATCTGTACCCATCAAGTGTCTGAAGTATTTTTCTAAGGATATTTTAGTCCTGTAGTACATACAGGTTTGGGTGTGTAGGTAAAATGAAAAAGGATATAGCAAAACCCTCGAATGTTATCAGTACTTTGTCACCGAACATAGTGATTTATTTAGAAGCTGATCTCGAAATATGTTTTCTGTCAACTTCGTTATTTTACAAAAATGTGACTTATTTAAAGAGTAGCCATCACTTGTATGCAAAACGACGAAATCCATACTTCCAGGTAAAATAGATTAGAAAGTGAATTCAAATGGACGTCGATAGGCGGAGACTTCTGTGGCCATCAAGATGGTTAATGAGACTTGATTGAATAGTTAATTTTATCCTAATGTTTCACTTATTATGATAAACTTTTGTTTTTCCGATTTCAGTATTTCAGTATTGTGACATGAGATTCATTTGTACTTGCACATAAATAAAAAAAGCATTCACTGTACGAAGAAGCAAAATATCATGTTATGGAATCAGATTTGATCTCATTCGAAGCTTGTGTACAACGAATCCCAAATGCAATTTATTTGGGAGCTTGACTTGAAATGTGGCCAACGTTTCAGCACACTTTGTGATCAAGTTTGATTCGGCTTGATCTCACGGTACTGTTTCCTTTTCGGTGTCATTGTTACTGCATTCTGGCGTACCTAACAAACTGGTGTACACAATGTCATCCTTGTTTCTTTGCCGAACAAATCGATATGAAGTCGGTTCCGGAGAGGTTGACCGGTACAGAATAAAATGTTGCACCATGAAGAGCACATCAAATCCAATGGTGCATAGACCCAATCCCAATTTACCTGTTGCTCCAGCCACACTGCTCCAGTCATCTGAAATAAACAAAAATACCACGGATGGGGTGAGCGTTGATGGTTGCTGTGAAGGAACTCGTACAAAGTTGATCTTAATCCATAATTTTGTACGATGGATAAGCTGTGCTAATAATTGAGATTCATATCAAACTAGAAAGTTAAGGAAGTCAATTCAACCATTTAGCGATTTTTCAGTCTTTGCTATCATACGTTCGGAGTCGAAGAATTGTTCACAGCTTAAACAGATTACATAAGATAAATGACAGCTTTGCACCACCTGAAAATAATGAGAAAACTTATATTACGCCTCCGATCGTGTGCACGACAAGTATGCTCCTAATCGATTTTCGCACATAAAACCGGCGAATCAAAACCATTCTGCCTCTGGAATGAGATAATTTATCTGTGCTCTTCATAAAACGTTTGATGGGACGGAACTTTTAATGCAACTAATTGGTCATTTCTATTCACCAATAATGAAAACACCCAACTGAGGCAATTAACCCACCCTAACCTACATTATTCGTTCAGCTGGGTCAGCAACGCAACTTCTATTGAAGGAACTGTAAAAATATTTTGTTACGGTGTATCAAAATTTGTGACCATACCCACGTTAAAACACCATCCAAAATCTTTCATAAGAAGAGCGGTTCTTGCTCAACTAGTGGACTCAGACTATGAACTTTAGTCCGAATATGTTCTGCAATTTTTCAGTCAAGCACGAACTCGTCCATTCTAGTTATTATATCACAGCGCCATATCCACTGCGGAGACGATCGAAGTTTTTCTTGTAATCCACTTTCGGTTCAATAAAGGGATTATCAAACTTCTTTGAACTCTGGTGTGTAAGCGAGAGGAGCGATTTACCCATTTGATCTTGATCTACCCCTTTACTGTTCGACTCCGAGTTTACATCAACTTGAACGACTAATGAAGGTCAATGAACGCCTCAGTCTTTCAGCTACGAATCTGCGTTTACATGTACAAGTGAGCATACTTTTGAATCTTACTATGTTTCCCTAGTTTTACCGTATCATCTTGTAGCCCAGTAAATTACCAGTAAGTGTGAGTAACACGCCCTGTGATTTAATTTCGGCAACTTCATTGTTCAGTTAGTTCTCACTTTAGTCTTCCCAGACAACTTACAACTTGTTCCATATGGTTATAAGTCAATGTCCAACATACCGCCGACTGACTAACGCTATCCAATGAACAAAGGAACAATGAAAAAACATTTCCACTAGTTCAAGTCGAACAGTCACCCCAACTAGATTGAGCTATGAGCAAGATTAAGTCTTTTGACCCCACAGTTTGGCTGTACATCACTGGGCACAATCAAAAGCGAATCACGGAGTGCTCGAAAGAGAAGGTGCACTGTCGAGACCGGAAAATAATTCGTGAAATGTCAAACAACCGAAATCAGTCGTCGTGAAGCGACTGTTCGCTTAAGGAGCGTGTTATGGCATTTTAGTCTTGTCCTATGGGACGTGGTAAGAGAGAGGGAGAGCAAGACAAGTTTGGTCTTGATAATGTACGCTCCGCTGTGATCTGTTGGTTTAATCAATGGCTAGTTTTTTGTTTCGCAGTCTGGATAAACAGTACTCATAATACAAGGAAAGTACTAATTTAGGACGGGCTACTTTACAAACTCAATGACAATGAACTAATGTTCTCAGATAGGTATACGTGTTTCGGTTGGAATGTCGTAGATACCTATTGGCAATTTGCTCTTAATCCTGCGGCACACCTGTTTGGTTTCATCGATGTAAAACCTACTTGTCAATGCTTCCATTACACGAGGACAATAGTAAGCATATTGAACTTGACTTGTTCAAAAATGTCAATTGGACCAAATGGCCCGTTTTGGAGAACGGTACAAAACTTCTCCTGTTCTACAATAGGTATGTTTATTTATCAACTCCTACATATATGTCAAGTTTAAAAAACCTAGTACTTCGTTTTTGGATAATTCAAGGCATGTACTGGAGTATTTTCTGTTCGTTTTACCATTCTTACGGTGCACAACTCGTCGTACAACTAGCTTGCCAAGTGGATCGCAAACCTGCGGGACCAAACACAAGGTATATGTTCACTCAGGGTGCTTCGGACTCCTATCAGCAACTCCCGGCAATAAATTTCGTCAACCAAGTACAGTAAGTCAGATTTACCGTCGACTTAGTAATGGTGACAGAATAATGTGTTCATGCTAGTACATTGAATGACAGAATGAATACGTGATTCTCACAGATCCTTTGTACATGGCTTCAATGTCAGTATTCAAACCAACTTAGCGTGTAAGTGGGAAGACATTCGGATTTCTTATTAGTGTCTCATGCCCCTTTGAGTTCATAAAATTCAGCATAACGATTGCTATTCCCCCATATATCCCGACCTTTCACGGTGTTTCTTATTTTTGAACTATAGTAATGTAATCAGTAGTTGGTGGCTTTACATCACCTATGCCGGATATCTGTTATTGCAGAGTTATCATGTAACTTCTGAACTGAACACTGTGTTGGGTCACCGAATTTCGTACATCATTCGCAGAACCGCCATTCCCCTCCCACTACTGGATGGAAAATTCTTACAGACAGAAACATCTTTCCCAGTCACACAATCATCCAGTGGCAAAGGGTCATGCTCCCTGCAATCAGAAGCAGCTAACTTACCATCGTTATAGGCTACAACGAAAATTTGTAGAATGCTCAGAACACCACCAGTAAAGTCCAGTAATACATTGCCAATACTCCATCCGACTGTGCTTTTCATGCGAAAATTCAGCAGAGCCTAAAATGAGGAATGCCAATTTAGTGAAATCAATTAGATCTTTGTAATAAACTAAAACTGGATAGAAGAGAATTGTATAGAAAACCACAATGATAAATGCGGGGATTCCGGTTGAGATCCGTTTGAAGCGGAATGAAAGTGTTCCCACCAGGATACATACATGAAAAAATGAACAATTCTAAATAGGGATTCAACCATTCACTAAACAACTGGCTAAATTCTCAAATTTTTATGGCAGCCTAAATGTTTCTATCAGATGTTGGATCAATAGGACGTCCAATCGATTCAATCTTTCACCATCTACGGGCTCCTTTGGTCTGAGATTGCGTCTTCATTCACACTTGACTTGACCTGATACAATTCGATCAAGTATCGTGTTGCACTTGTCACTTGGTTCCAGACGAATGTTTCACCACATGATTTATCAATGCCTGAGTGTCACCGGTCATAGGTAATAAATCAATAATTATTTGGGTGAAACAAATTGCTTCATTTTCGCAATACACGTTTGGTAAAATTGACTCTAGAGCATACGTCGTGTTTAAACCTGGGATTCAAACACTTGGATTTTGTCATAAATTACAACCCTTAATGTCATTCATTGGTTTCAACAATATAATAAATCAAATAGTCACAAATGTCGCATTGTGAAAAAAGTAGGAATTCGTCCTGTGCTTGGTTGGTAATGGTCCTTCCAATTTCTCAAAAATTCACACATAATACATATTGAACCCACTCCATTTCCAAACCAGAGGAAATCTACTTAATTCAACGAACTTTCTGTCAGACACATGGTATCAAGTTTCGTACGCGTTAGAAAAACGTGCGGTACCTACTACTGAGAATACCTTCCAGAAGAACACAATAGCAACTCAATGACTGAAATTAGTAGATGCTACTATTTTCCATTTTTTTTCAGATAAAAATTAGGAAACATTTGAATTCACCAATAGAAGAATTCCTATTGAAGTTTGAGTAATCGACAACTGTCAGTTATGTGCGACAGCAATAGCCCGGTTAGAAGTACCCATCCAATCAACTTTCATTTATAGTCGGTCACCCGGTGAATGATCAACTCGCAGTGTGCAGATAGGCAATGAACTGTTGCAAGGCAAAATGATCAACACACGTTCCAACTAGCTACTCGGCTGTTATCAGTTTGGACTGAGCGATTCATCTCGTCTTGCAAGTCATTTTGTGTTCTAGTGATTATGTGAGCAAACGTTGACCGGTAATATCCTAACGCAACACTATAGATTTTTTCATACAATCAATAAGAGATTTACACTAGCCAAACTACGATTGATTGAACATTGGAATGCGATTACATGATTGTAATTAGAGGAATCCAATAGCCAGTTTTGTTCAAATATTCATGTTCTCATTAGTGATCTTACGACGCCTGCCCCGAGGCCTTCCAACAGTTGGGTTCCGTGGTAGTGAATGATCAACTGGATCAAATGGTTGCGTAGAGAAACACTATCCCAGTAATCAATAACCCAAACGTAAAATGCCTCGAATCGATATGTAAGGCCTGATTTAGAGAAAGTTAACAAATGGCGGATTACAATGTTAGAAAACTTTCAGCAAACGGTGATGCAAATGTAATACTTGACAAAATACGCACGTATGTTACACGCAAAACTAACTTAAATGGTAGGTTTTATTCAGAAGCAGCAAAATTCACACGATGAAGTTCAATGGGAAATGATTTGCCCAAGTTTCGATGATTCACGCATTTGGTGAAGTTTTGCCTGATTCAGTGGTAAAGGTTCAGAAACCTCAGTGTAGCCCTGAGTGTTGTCAGTCATCCAGTGGGGGCCAACCAGTACATGGTCGTGGCCTGAGCTTTGGTCCAGCGCACATTCAACCAGCTGAGCTACGAGGTCACATCGGTAGCACCAAACTTCCCCCGTTAGAATTACCCGTTCAACTTACAGAGGCATATGAAATCCATCAGGTAGTATGAACGAATGTTTGAAAATAATATTTTACCTCATTTCATTAGGTACCAAGTTGTTATCTATTTTGAGTGAGAAAGCTGCGGTGGATCAGTTGCCTGAGACTATTGTCTCGTTCTGAAGTGTTTTAGATGCAACCGTTCATAGGACCAGCACGCTTGTTCATGTTTTATTTGTCAGCAATGAACATACTTTTGTACATGCATCAAAGAATTTAAGTACTCAACGTGCTGACCCCCCGGATGAGCTCCATTCACTAGGTAGACCTATGCAGTCCAGTCAACAAGGTTTTTGTTGCATAGGAATACTTACATCTTATTGACTTTGCGATGGTACAGGTCAACAAATCAACCAAATAGTTGGTATAATTTGAATAATCGGGTTTATTAAATGTTTAAGAATAAACGTTAACAAAGACCACACTCGCTGTTAGGTTTGACTAATTCTATATATTTGAAAGCACACCCGCTTGGCAGACGATTACATCCCGCAGAGCCAGTCTGTGGAATCACGCATTCATTCGGTTTGCTCTAAAACTCACCCGGCAGGTAGCTTATGAATAGGTCACGGAGTGGTTGCTTCTGAGTCCTGTATTTCAGTTCAAAACTATTTATGGAACACAAGGTGTGTTTGTGTTCGACTTAGTGCATTTGGTGGTCCCGTCGTTTAGATTTGCGTATTCGGAGAGTGAGTGCAATTTTGAAAGGAATTTTTCGTAACTATGGCTTCTTAATGTGTAACGTTCATCTACTTTCATATTTATTTGCAAATAGAAAAATTGAGTTTCCCTTTTTATGTGGAGAATCCCTTGAATATTATCTGATGAAGAAACTATCGAAACACAGTCGTTTCAAAGGATTTTACTGATCATTAATGTTTATCCATTTGCGGGGTCATATTTGCTAATGTTAGTTTACTTTTACGGTTTATTGATAAAAAGACCACAACGGACCAGTTTCACATCTCCCCCTTCAAGAAAAGAAATGGTTGATTCGAGGTTAGTTGAACCAATCGTTCAATTAATAACCATGTGCATCCCCTCGTTCTTGCTCTCTCTCTCTCTGTATATTTATCTCTCGCTTCAGTGTGCACGCAGTTCACGTAGGAACTGCGATAAAAATCTCTATCCATTAACAATCACGTGAAACAAAGGTTTCTAGAAAGATTTATTGAGTTCCGTGACCATAATGGGTTGATCTACTCATAAAGTTCAACTCCCATTACCTTTAGCATGGTACACTCAGAGAAATCATACAAAATTCGTCAGACCTCCGGCTGTTTCAAATGGTAACACTTTGAGTGTGGTTGAGAAATTTCCAGGTTGTCAACCTTAGAAAGAGAGATGCTGGCTTCACGTTCAGTTGTATTGTTCTGAAGCTTCCGAAGCTTAAAAATCAGTATGCTTTAGCATACCAAATTTGCTTGTCTCTAATCTCCGCATGTCATCGCACATTTAACTACCGTCGTTTTACAATGCTTTACTCGTACTGTGAACATTGATCAATCTGTTTAATGCAAATCAGCTGCTTATTGTATTGATTTTACCTGGGAATTGGACGGATTGCAGTAATGATCATCTGATCCGCCAAGGAAAACCAAAGCCTCAGCACATAAACAGTTGGTACGAAGACACCACTGCCTAGCACACTTTTCAACTAGCTTTCGCTACTGTTTACGCTCATAATCTAATGTTTTCCGGCGTAAACTTCATAGTAGATCACAGAGACTTTGTGTGCAGGTAGCAAAAATACAGACTGATCAGCTGATCCGCTGTGATTCAGGCACATCAGCATTTCCCCTAGGTGGGATTCGAACTTCAACCCCCTGGGTTGTGGGTGGAGTCTCCCTAGTTGGGTCGACCGATAACAAACGCCAAAAAATGAATCATACCGGTTTAAACTTCCAAAACGTTTTGGTATATAATTAAAGCCTAGAAGCAACTTAAACGAGAGGCACATGAATCTGTTTGCTCAGTTGATATCTTGTGGAAGCGCTTCTATGTGAACATAAGTTGTTGCATATTCAACGAAATTTCTTCATCAAGACATAAACTGAGACGGAGAAAACCGACCACAGTAAAGATGATGGTTGTATTTAATTGAAGCAGAGAATAGTTGCACAAAACCAATCTGGATGATAGTCAGGGCTGATTAGCCATTTCCCCCCATGTTTTCGTTTGGAAAATGATGGCTGAATTTTAAATGCAGCTGAGACCACGTGATATAAAGCTGTTATCGAACGCCCAACAAAGTATGGCGCGTATTGATTTTACAAACAAATTCAAATTGCATCGCCCATCCGCAATGGGTTTATCTCACTGGTGGCCTACGAGTAATTGAGTATATTGTTAAAGCTGATCTACTGAGCCAGTTTTCTAATGAATTTCTTTTTACATGTCAAAATAATTAAATATCTACACCGCCTGACGAGTTGGAAGGGGTATGGTTATTGAGCGCATTTTTGTTGGTCTCCTGCATACGCCAATTCGGACATAGCAAAATTTTCTGCACTGATAAGGGAGATTTTTGATAACTGTCACCCCAAAAATGCATTCGCGGAAGTCATATTTTTCACATATGAAGGTTGGCGTATCAGCTCGCTTGAGTTTGGTAGTAGAAAACGGTTAGACCTAAATAAATATTACATTTCCACATTTATACAGTTTCTAGAGGGGTCGATTTCAATGTCAAGTTCGTTTTATTAACGCGCAGCAGCTGGGATTTTAGTTCAATCGGAAACTTTTCCCTCTATCAGAAACAGGGATAGGTTAGCTACGTTGCCACTGGTCGCCGGTGTTAACGGTGTGCGGGGTATTAGAGGAAACTTGCAAATTCTGTTTGGTAGTCAACTAGGTGGATTCCATCCTAAAGCGACTGCCTTCGGTGCTCAAAAATGAAGAGGAGCAAATGGAACATGAACGAGATGAAAGTGCAATACCTGTATAAAGTCTATCAGTCATTTTAATAAATAAATTACTGTAAGGTTTCTACTGTGACATTGTTATCTTACAACTGATGCATT